CATATTTCGAGAATTAGACTGTGCTGCTTTTCATGGGTGCTCCTTTTTCTTACAGAGATTGCGTATGGAAGCCATATCATGCTGCAGCAGTCCTCAGAATCAGTTAATCTTATGCTGGGACAAGACAAACTAGCAGGTGATAGCAAGGACACATCCCGCCGTGCAAGTGAGAAAGAATCTTTGTATAGTTGCTGGTTACATAGTCATACTGATGTCTACCCAGTGGCCTATGATGATGGACGCAACAGTAGTCAACAGCAGCAGGTCACCTGCTATCCCTTCAAGGACATGAATAACTGGTGGATTGTGAGGAAACCGGGAAGGTGGGTGCTTGCAGTGCTCTCTCTCTCTCCCTCTCCCTCTCCCTCCCTCCTCTCTCTCCCCCCCCCTCTCTCTCTCTCTCTCTCTCTCTCTCTCTCTCTCTCTCTCTCTCTCTTTCTTTCTTTCTTTATTGCTCTTCTTTTGTTATGGGTGAACATGCATGAGAGTTCTCAATGTGCAGGCCGCAAGTACTGGTAAAGCAGCTACCCTAGGTGCATGCGTTAAAAATTACTTCATAGCATTTCATGATCTAGTTGTGCATTTGAGGAGTATGACAGTGGTCTCTTTCTGATCTAGAGTGATGTTCAGAATAGGCTCATCTGGTCTTTTTCTGTGGTTACAATGATTATCTTTGCTAAGACGTCTGTGTATGTTATGTTACTGTGTGTACATGTATGTGCTACTGTGTATGCATGCCACTGGGTGCGTGCGGTATGGCATGGTCGTTGCTTTCATGCAGTACTTCGTTGTCTTTGGATACACCGCCGCAGATAGTGAGAGATGGCGACAGCATTGAGCTGGTACACGGGACCACAAAGCGTTTGCTAAACAGGTGGGTGACTGGAAGGTAGGAAAATCCAGAATCGCTTGGAAGATGGATAGCTGATACGGCTGGAGATTTCAGAGGCAGTTTGATTAATTGGGAATGTCCGGCCACTAGCTTAAAGCGGGATTCACAGAAGCTTTTTTTGCGATGCGACACGCGATGCGACAGCCGCGAAACCGGGAAATCCCCAAATCGCAACCATCGCGGACCCCACGCAACTGCCGCAACAGGGCCATCGCAGGCCATCGCAGAAGTTGAGCTTGGCTCAACTTTTGCGATGCGATGCGATGCGACAAGCGATTTGGCGTACGATTTTGACCTTTTCTACAGCAAAGTTGTACAAAGGTTCAAGAGTTGCCTTTAAATTTGTACAAGTTGTATCAAACCGCGCGAATATCATGGTGACGTAGCCAAATCAGCAAGATGTTGTCGCATCACCAGTGATCACTGACTTCTTCTGTGAATGGTATTTCGCGAGTTCGCATCGCATGCATCCATCGCAGATCGCGTCGCATCGCAAAAAAGCTTCTGTGAATCCCGCTTAATGCTTCACTCTTTTTGGCCCCCAATGCATAAATTAAATAAATTTCACGGTTCGCGTGAGACTCGGCTGGAAGCCGAGTTTTCCGCATCCGCCGTGGGAACGCCACCACCCTCTAGGATCAAAGGCGCAGATGCAGCGCCTAAACGGTGGGAGGTGAGTAGATCAGACCCGCCACCAAGTGGTCAAAGACCGAAATCCCATTAGCTGCATCCATGTTACCCTCGTGCCAGGCCACCAGTTCCCAATTAACTGTGGGTCGCAGCACGGCTGGAAAAATTCCTTCCGCTTCGAAGCAGGACTTGAACCTGGTACCCTCTGTTTCTCAATCATGGTCTTAGACCATCCCACTATGCCTGCCTGCATGGCAGGCATAGTGGGATGTGCATGTCTTCTAGTATTAGTACACAGTCATGTACATGATTACAGGTATACTGTAGTACATGTACATGACTGTGTTCCCTTTCCGTTTGTTGCATACTCTAATTCAGCCATAACGTGGCCGCTCCGATCTGCAAGACAGCTCAGGAAGTCAGTGGATTTATCAACAATACTTTTCCAGGTTTCCAAAAATGGAGAGTGGTAAGTCTCTAGGTATCCTTGTTCTACTGTTGCGGACGTTGAGAAGTAAACGCCACGGGGCCGCGCTGGCCTTGCAGCCGTGAGCGCTGCTGGTCCATTTTTGCAGTGTTCAATGCGTGTACGTGCTAAGCAAGTAAGGGCACCGGCCCCGGTCATTCCACCAGATTTCAATGTCGTTAAAAGTAGTTAGGTATTGCTGTGCTGTTCATGCTGTTCAAGCTGTTCAAGCTGTTCAAGCTGTTCAAGCTGTTCATGCTGTTCATGCTGTCGAACATCTGCAAAGATCGGCAAAGATTCTTGGGAAATGCAGTATGGTATTATATTATTATTGCCATCTGTCCTAGCTATGCTGGGAAGCATTATGCCCTAGGAGACTGGAAGCCAGCAATATCTACCTGGGTGCTGCTATAGAAAAAACGAAGAAAAAAACGGTGGAGCAGACTTACCCTTTCGCTGACTTTGAGCTATCTTGTCTTGTTACGTGCTCAGGATATCATTGGCGAAGATGCTGGGACCACATGGAGAGCGAGCAAACATGAAGTCCGAATTGTCCATGAGGAGACAGGTTCATTCTTATCCGTAAGTGATGTACTGTTACTGTGACGTAGAGTAGTTGCTATGTAGAGTAGTACAGCAGTACAGCAGTACACTGTGGAATTACCTGCTAAACTGCTGCTAACTGTGCATGGTGCCTGACCAGTTTGTGCTGTCACCTTGTGAATGTCTATACTATACGGTACATATACATATACTTGCTCTGCTCTTATTGTGGTCTGCATACATAACACTCCAGGAGCGGTATTTCCCGCACACCATCTACACCTTTGTTCTGTCTTTCTTGTGCATTATACTTGTATGATGAAGCCAGCCGTCAATCACCGGGTTGGTGGATTCAGCACCACATTGCTGTGGTGTGTGTGTGTGTGTGTGTGAATGCCACATACTGTCACTTGTAACATTATCACTAGCCTTCTGACCGTGGCTGCATGAACTGTTGCTCAAGCTTATTGCACCAAGCATGGCTCAACTTAATCTATGTTAGTATGTTGAACCATGGTAGTTCTCACGCCGGTACTTGTAACTATCACCGTTTGGGTGCCAGCATTCTTCATCTTGTTCATGCTTGTCGCTTCAGTACTTCAGAGTATATCTACCATGAAGACTTGGGAGTGCACTCTTTCCCTGTCTCTGCTATCTGCTGATTGCATAGAATATTCGTGAAATTTTGTGTTGTGCATGCCAGCCTTGATCCATTGTTTGATGTCATATATGCTGTATGCCATAGCATTAGCTTGTCCACTGTTGTGGATGTACTGGTGTTCATCTATCTACAGAGGGATGCAGGGTCAGTATCACTGTCAAGTGTCAACGTCAATATCATCGTTGGTCACTGCGCTATTGCTGCACTGCATGCAGCGATTTCTGCTGATTTACGGTGTGTTCCTCTTGTGTTTCAATGTCTGTGTAGCTCTCCACGGAACGGCTACCGGAGTGGGGATTCCACCAAATGGAGGTAGGCCGAGAGAGTATGAATGCATCGTCTGAAATACCTAATGCAGCTTTTCAAGCTACATGACCAGATAAGATGTATGTGCTGATGGCATTCCAGGCATGCACTCCTGACCTGAGTTCAGGCGACTTTTAAAACTTTACGAGATAGTGGTATCAACTTTGCCGATGATGTCATAGGGAAAGTGTTTGCTCCCCACACCGGAGCTCGCGCTTTCCATTTAAAAAGGTTACTTTATCTGTTGATCAAGGTAGCAAAACATTTTACTAATGTCATACTCCCAAGAGCAACATGAGATAACAACTGTCCCCTCAATGCACAGTAGGCAATTGCTCAGGGGCCCGGCAGTGCACGAAAATGCCATGTTAACTTGTATGGTCTGGTGCAGGTTGTAGCAGCTCTGAAACACAATGTCAAAACAGATGCTGGAGTCCTGTGGAAAGCTACCGAGCACCAGTATGCAGTCGGTAAGTCGTCAAAGTCTATGGTGGTGGTGTTGGTGGTATAGAGATGCGATTACATCATCAGTGGAGATGCGTTGGTGAAGTTGTGGCATAACGGTTCACTAGCGACTCGCTAGCGACTGTCGCTGTATACATAGCGCCCCTTAGTGGTTCCAATGACTCGCCTCCATGACATCGTTCACATAGCATCCATTGTTGGTGTTGGCAGTGTTGGTTGTGTTTGTTGGTAATGCTGGTGATGTGTGTGATGTTGGTGATCCTGGTAGTGATGGTGGTGTTGGCTCTATGTATATATGCCTGAGCCTGTGTGTATGAATGGTCATAATGTGCGGTTTTGGGTGCGTGTATGTCATTCTCTAGCAAATGCTGCTGATCCGCATGCCCTCAGTCAAGCAGACGTCCAGAAGAGTCTAATACGCAATGCATCTCAAGTTGTCAACATCAATCTGCTTACCAAACTCTGGCACTATCAGGTCAGTATGAGAGAGTGCATGTGCCGCGAGAGTGGCAAACCAGTGATGGAAGCCTACAGATTGTGAGACTACACGTATTTCACACACGACACACAATCTGCACTGTAGCAGAAGAGTACATGTAACCGCAGTAACTGCATTATCCGCATTCAGGTGATAGCAGTCTGGATGTGCAGTGTGTGTTGTACTGCATGCTACAATACTCATCATTACAGGTACACTGCAACACAGTGCTCAGCACACTCCACGTCCGCATGATATCATGACCGCGTCACAGTACATTGAGCTCATGGCAATGCCGCCAAGCAAAGCTGCCAGCGTACTTGCTGTTGGCCAGCTACCCGGGTGTGTATAGGTAGTCATTGGAATGTAGCATTCTGCTGGAAGCCTTAAAATAAACTAGCCGCGATATTTGACTCTGTACATATCATGCTACCAACAGCTTTTAAAAAAGAACATGTTTGGTTCTATGCGTCTCTTGTTCTGCCTGATACCAGCTAGCAGTGATGAGTGCTAACAAACGACTATCTGATGAACACGAGTACAGTACAAGTGCCCTAGACTGGCCTCTACTCTACAAAGGTGTGCCATACTGGTTACATCCTACCACCAATGTAAGTACAACATGAATAAGGGGAATTACCCGTATCACAACTGTAGGAGTTTGTACACTTTATGATTTGGCTGCAGAAAGTCTAAGATACTCAAAGTTATAGTAGCCTTCTTCTGAAGTTCTTCAGTATGCCAAGCACATACAATCAAGGAACAGTGAATGCAGTATTGGTTAAGCCATAGCAATAGGCTATGTAGATGTGCATATGCCATTGTTGCGTATGTGGCAAGTGTGTATGTATGTGTCCGTGTCGTATTTATCTGTCCCTAGACCCAAGTGTATCTGATAGGCAACCCAGTTCTGTGGTACTCTGGCACCGCGTCACTGCTGCTTTTCATGGCATTGTATCTTCTGATGATAGTATTGGAGAGCAGACAATCGGACATCCGCTGCCGAGGTATGTGTCCAACATGGCCGTGTTTGTCAGGGCTCCAAGCATGCATTGTATGTTATGATAATCCCTCGCCTGCTTGTGCAAAGAAGTGTAGAGCCCGGGAGAGAGAGCAGCCCGATCAAAGTTAATACCGAAATGCACTGTGTGAGAGCTTGATCAACCCATGATCGACTGGGTCGGCTTAATTCCTTCTTCTCTCTAGTGGCTGAGGAGCACCACAAAATACTGAGAGCGGCTACCGCGTCCTGCACTCTTTCACCGGACGTGATATTCATACTTACGCCCAGTGTCTGCAGGATTTCAAACCAACCAGGTACCCGTGTACCTGGCACAACCCTTGCAACCTGGTCAGAGCCGGGTCAGAGCCGGGTCAGAGCCGGGTCAGCCCACGGTTCAGGTGCGGCTACTGCATATACATCAGCCGGGGAGTTGTAAATGTTTTTGATGTTTATTGTATTCCCAACCAGGTCACAGGTGACCCTGTATCCTTTTTGGAAACGGGTCCAAGTACCCCCCCCCCCCCCCACCGGGTCGCTGACCCTGCTGACCCAGCTCTGGAGCAGACACTGAGTCGCTGGGTTGAGAAAGAATTAAAATCACAGTGCTGTGAAACACTGTCATTACGACTCTGACCCTGTTTAGGCTTCCAGCACGTCCCTGGTTTGTATGCGCATAGTGAATGGTTAGCTACACAACCAGTGTACAGTACCTGTGCGTATGTGCATGTACCTCATTTTCTCTGTGCTGCGCTGATTACTCCACGGAGGACGAAACAGTTCTGTCCGCAGATTGTATACATACGTGTGTGTATATCTGGGTGTGTGAGTTAGTGAATTTTGGGATTTCAGGGGGTGTCGACCGTTGGGCGGTTCAATAGCCAATTGAGTCATCTTTCCAAGATTTCTTTTGAGTCTCTCTCCCCTCTCCTGGGGGGACCCACGTGACCAATTTTGGCAGTGAGCAAGTACGAATACTTCGAAGTACAAGTGTGTGTGTGTGTGTGTGTGTGTGTGTGTATGTGTGTGTGTGTGTGTGTGTGTGTGTGTGTGTGTGTGTGTGTGTGTGTACACGTGTGTGTATGTGTGTGTGTGCACGTGTGTATGTGCATTGTTCTAGATCAATGGTCTGAGCTCAACTTGACAGCAGTGGTACTGTGTGCAGGCTGGTTTCTGCACTACTTCCCGTATACCTGCCACCATGGTGTTTTGTTCCTACATCAATACTTAGCTGCCCTCATCTATAAGCTCATGTTGCTAGCTGCCACGTTCAGCCACGTCCACCACTACTTTGCCAGGTAATAGGCTATTCATACTACGTTACAATACACGTCACGTTTTGGAATACGACATACTGGCAGACATCGTTTTCATGCAGGTGCACTCACACCGGGACGTATAAGCCTTTCGTACAGCTGTGTGCACAGCTTCTTTTGGACGCAAACTGCCAGGAACGACAGAACGAACCTCGGTACAGGGGTCTGGATACGCCGTCTACGTTTTCGTATCAGGGATACGATTTTCCCGCCACGTTCCATGTTGTCATGGCTATCCGGACGAAAAGGTCACGTTTCGCCACGTTTTGGGCGTAGTGTGAATGGTCCATAAGCAATATGCTGAGTTTGTGCAAGTAATAGTTGCATGTTTCATGTGGAGGTGATTTCTCTCATTCTTGCGCTCATGTGTTCTGGGAGCGTTTTATTTATTTCAGTGGTAGTACTGTGCTTGGAAGTACATGTACATGCACGGTTGTGTAAGTTGGCGAGTCACGAGTCTCTTTTCTTACCCATTGGGCCTGTCAGTATCACCTTTACCGACAACTTGGGTTTGTTTTCCATGCAGAAAGGTACAGTGGTCATGCTATGTTGTCCAGATTCAAAGTGCTGCGGCACTGGAGGGATAGTTCTACACTGAAAGGAGCACAGCGTATGACCAAGTTTCGAATTGCGACCACCAAGCAGTTGCAATTGTCTGTTAGTTCCTTGCTTTCAAGCCTCTCTGATCTTCATCTCCTCACATAAGCCTTGTAGAGGCATTTTGATCGAGACAGTATGGCTAGGAATAGTTAGCCCAGTTTTCCGTTGTGTAATGGCTGACCGGTTGTTGTGCCATAGCATGCGGTCGTGGACCATGTCCCGTGTCCTACAGCTGCAGAATTGTCTTGTATTGTGCCATGTTGCAGGTCGAACATATCGCGGTTACTGATGGCGGCATTCCTCCTGGCCCTGTTGACAAGTGCTCTGTCTACTCGACAACAGCTTTCACCCCTGTCCTACGGCAATACGGCATTAAGCAATGGGCAAATTACACGCCTTCAATGGAGAGAGTCCTGGGAAGTGCTCATGCATACTCCACTGCCAGAAGGGGTTGAGCGGCAGATACAGATGCAGAAGCAGCAACAGCAAAATCGTTTGCAAAACCAGCGGCAAGAACAGCAGCAACACCAGCAGCAGCAGCAACAGCAGCAGCAACAACACCAGCAGGACCAGCCATAACAGCAGTTCAGCAGCAGCAGCAGCAGCAACAGGCTGCTGACTGAAACTAGCCTGCTGGTATGAACAGGTATAGCACGGAATTCAAGTACTTCAAGAGTCGAAGTATTCTCAAGCAATTGAAAAGCTTCGTAATGCTGCTACACCCCAAGCACTGAGTAGAGGCATGGGTTGGTAACAACTACCGTTCTCAGCATGAGATAAGGTGATCTCGCAGTGGACAGGGTGTTGATACTATCACACTAGCACTAGCACTAGCACTGGCACTGGCTTCTTGGTCAGGGCATAGGCATATTGTATTGGAGAGGATAATAAATTATCAAACGGACCTCTCTTGTAGCCATGCGCTGGCCGGAGTCTTTTAGTTCGACTCTCGCTCAGTGCAAGCATCTGAAGATATGTTAGGGATGGTTCCGGAAATAATCAATATACACATCCGTAATATTTATTGGCAGGCATGCAGCCAAAATGCCAAACCTTGAGCACTTGCATGGCCCGTACTTGCCTTGCAGCAAATCTTTTGCATGGCGAAAGCTTATCAACCATGTCTGCTGCTTTTACAGTCGGAGACAAAGCGCTTTCATTTCTGACATTTTTGTAATTTTTTAAATTATATCAATTTCCCCTCACTTGATCTCTGCCCTATCCAGCTATCAGCGGTGCTTCTAGCCATTGTTTTTCTATTAAAGGCAAAAGCCTGAAAAATATGTTTGGGACTTGTGAAGCTCTCAAATAGTCACGTTTGCAAAAACTCTCTTTGCATTGTTTTGCCAGCGTAGCCTATTGATGTCCTGTGATGTGAAACTCCACGGTTCCAGCAATGTGCACTGGATAGAGAAAGTGCAGGCATTTGTTCTCTTGGGGGTTCTAGAACGCCCTCTTGATTCTACTCAAACCTGTGAAACACTGCAAACCAAATGGTGGTGGGTCACAAGGCTGAGAGATGACAACAAAGTAACAAGGTAGTACTTGTAGGAGAAAGACAGACGGGAGGGAAAGGAATTTGATACTTGTGTGAGAAGAAGCAACTGTAGTACAGTGTACTACTGTCAGTCGTACTGTTCCTTGATGCACTGCGGAGCCGCAGAATACAAAAAGAGATGATGCACTGCGGAGCCGCAGAATACAAAAAGAAATGATGAACTGCGGAGCCGCAGAATACAAAAAGAGATGATGCACTGCGGAGCTGAATGATACAAAAAGAGATGATGCAGAGCCGCATATTAAAAAAGAGATGGCAAGATAAATTAAAAATATTGGTGCAAAGAGTGTCATACCACAGATAGCAAGAAATGTCTCCAGCAAAGACTAGACCAGCAGCAACATCCACCGACACGACCAGTGATACATGCACATAGCAAACAATAATAGCACAGCAGTGGAATGATTGGAGGCAGCACAGCCATAAAAATGTAAATGAAACAGTACTGTCAAACCAGGATAGAGAGAGAGTGCTATGAGATCACACAGGTACAGAGAGAGAGAGAGTGCTATGAGATCACACAGCTACAGAGAGAGAGAGTGCTATGAGATCACACAGGTACAGAGAGAGAGAGAGAGTGCTATGAGATCACACAGGTACAGCTATGTCAAACCAGGATAGAGAGAGAGAGTGCTATGAGATCACACAGGTACAGCTATGGCAAAGTATAGAAATCAATGATGGTGGAACACGCCTGGAAGCATAGAAAAACCAATAGTGGTGAAACACGCCTGGAAGCATAGAGAAACCAATGGCGGTGGGACATGCCTGAAGGCAAAGGGAAACCCAATGCTTTGCTAAACTTACTATACACGTTCCAAGAACGATAGAATCTCCGCCTGCAAAATAATTCTTGAACAAAGATAAACGCAAGAGAAGTTGCGTACCACTAGCTCTATCTCTCAGTCAGCTGGTGTGATCACAACCCGGTAAGATATACGACATGGTGTCATCCTGTACAAGCATACAACACAGACAGACAGACGAACAGACAGACAGACACGCACACACACACACACACACACACACACACAGACACACACACACACACACACACATACATGAGGGCAATGAGACCTAGCATGACGCATGAACAGCACGCATCAGCCCATCTGTCAGCACAGGATCTAAAAATTAGATTTACTTTCAATTACAACTCATTCAAACTACACATGCACCAGCAATTCACTCAGCTCTTGCTGAATAGACACTGGCAAAGATGAGTGGTAATGATAGTGGGATGACTTCAACAATAACATTACACTAGCACAGTGTACGGAGCCAGAAAAATGCCTGGGTGGGTGCCAGCAATGATCCATAAGCCTGTCTCTGTATGTGTGCGTGTGTATGTGTGTGTGTGTGTGTGTGTGTGTGTGTGTGTGTGTGCGTGTGCGTGTGTGTGTGTTTGTACAGGGAAAACTTACGTTGAAGAAGTATTGTCAAACTGCAAGGTGTAAATTCCAGTGGAGCGGGCCACCCAATCGCCATTCACCATTTGTTTATGTGAGCCAGTGCGGCGCAGAGGGACTAATGTCTGAACAAATAAACCAGAACCGAAAGGGAAGAGAATTGCAATTGCAACACTTGCACTGGGGATGTTGGGATACGGTCCTACTAAAGCAGTAAAAAGACACTTGAATCCGTGCACACATCATGAGAAAATAGGAGGATGAATGGAGCCAGAGAAACAGGAGCAATCATCATCACCGCACACTCACCCATGTACACGCACATGCATGCACACGCACACACATGCACATACATGTACACACACGCACATGCACACATGCACGGACACACATGCACAGACACACACACACACACATGCACATGCACGGACACACATGCACAGACACACACACACATGCACATGCACAGACACACACACACACACACAGATGAACATACAGTTGCCGCTGTGTCGTCCCCGACTTCGCTGGCAGCGAATGCTATTCCGAACGCGATTCCCTACACAAACAATACAGTATGGAAAGAACCACTGCTACTAAGTATGGAAAGAACCACTGCTACTAAGTATGGAAAGAACCACTGCTACTAAGTATGGAAAGAACCACTGCTACTAAGTATGGAAAGAAGTTGAACCACTGCTACTAAGTATGGAAAGAACCACTGCTACTAAGTATGGAAAGAACCACTGCTACTAAGTATGGAAAGAACCACTGCTATTAAGTATGGAAAGAACCACTGCTACTAAGTATGGAAAGAACCACTGCTACTAAGTATGGAAAGAACCACTGCTACTAAGTATGGAAAGAACCACTGCTACTAAGTATGGAAAGAACCACTGCTACTAAGTATGGAAAGAACCACTGCTACTAAGTATGGAAAGTATGGATTGGGAAGAAGTTGATAGAAAGGTCTCACGAAAACTCATAATTACTACGCAACAATGCAACTAGAATATCTACCATCAACAATGCAACTAGAACATCTACCATCTGTAGTCAAGTATGTCATGTAAATACAACATCAGTCACCTACTCTCAACGAGAACACTTCAGGGCACACACCCACCCACCCACCCACCCACACACCTTTGGATCGGTCTGAAACTGCCAAGAGATACGCGAGCCAGGCTGTTCAATCAAAACCGGAATCGTATGGTAGCATCCTGCCTTGATTGGTAGCTCAATCATCTCAAGGACCTGGATGAGCAGCATACAAGACAAAACAACACACAGGCGTTCTTCTAACGAGAGTAAAGGTAGAAAAGTCTACACCACATGGACCTTTCGATAAGGGAAATTGGATAATAGGAGATAGGTAATGAGCCAGATGTGATCGTTCTCACAGGAGACCAACCTATTGCATTCCCAACTCATCACAACCACGCGCTCTCAGCCGAACCATACAGACACCAGTAAGGACACTTCCGTTGAGAGATAATAAATTGGAAATATGGCTGAAAGCTCTGTCGCAATATTTAGTTCAGGAGACCAAGCTGAACCAAAATTTTAATATTAACACACTACTAGTAATAGTACTTCGAAGTATACACATTTTACACAATAAAGACATAGTAGTACCTGAAGTTCTGGTTTCCTCGTTGGAGTGCCTGATTTCGACGTTCTGCGGCTTTGCAGCGACTGTGAGGACTTGGACATGTGTGAAGTGTAGGCTATATCAGAGTCTGCATCTGCCTGGTCAGTGCACTTCAAGGCTGCCAAGGATGCCTGGCGTCGAAATGACTGAGAGGTGACTGTAGCAGGCAGCAACACACACCGACACACACACACACGCACGCACGCACACACACACACACACCGACACACACACACACACACACACACACTGGGTTTAGATTTCGCTATGATGATGCACAGGTGGCAAATACTACAAGTAGTACAGTTACTAACATTACATACACACGTCAAGAATTCCAGTACAATGTACAATGTACAGGTACACAGAATGCACATTGTGTATGCAATACACCCACACACACAGACACAAAACACACACACAGACACTGGTCTCTCTTTAGACAGCAAGATATAAGGCTTACTGGTGGAACGTGGCAAAGAGGAACTGAACACAGCCTCCTCACCGGTCTCCGCTACTGCTGCTGCCGCTAAAGCAACATTTCCAGAAGACGCTGTCGCTAAGTTACAGGTAGAGACAGCAACAGTACTAGTCTCGGGCATGTTTTCTGCAATGGCTCCATTCTTGGGCTGGAGAAGAACACAATCAACACAAGACAACATAACATGGTCATGGACATGTAAGACCACATGCAGCTACACACGCACACATGTACAGTATACGACCAAGAGTACACATGCATACATGCAATACCCACCCTAGCAGATACAGGGTAGCTGCACATTCAATAAAGGGGCAATGAGTACAATAGTAGAGTGGTGGCAAGAGAAGTGAGGCCCTTGGCTTTGCACAGTTCACTGCAAGCACTGACTGCATGGCGTAAATCATGCGCGGAGCAGGCACACTCATGCTTACACCAAGCCGTGTCAAACCAAGGGCTGGCTTTCATTAGCCACCACTACAGCTCATGGATCATGAAAAGCCCAATAAGCACGATACTGACACTCACATGTGTATCTTGACCCTCCATCTCATCACCAGAATCACCCAAGACTATCTGTCCTCCTGCTGTGTGGCGTGCTAGGCGCTCATCAGAGCCACGCCGCTCAGTGACCGGTGGTTGGTGGCCAGGACTGGCCTTGTCGCCGCTTACAACCACAAAGTTCTCCGGGGACGGAATATCACTACGAAGATTCAGCTTGGTGCTCGTGAGACGCTCGTAGCAAGGAATGCACACGCGTGATGGTTTGCTGCACAGCAACATACAGGAGGAACGAATCAAGTCTGAGTGCATGCACATGCAAACACACATGTACTGGTACACGCAAATGAATGCAAAAAAGCAGAAGTCTTGGAAAGGTATTCGATGTGGCATTGGTGCAATAGTCCTTACGCACATTAGACCAATTTAGCCCAATACTTAGTGGCAGACAGTCGCTTTTCCAGCTTCGTCAGTTTGGATAGAACAAACGACTAGCTAGATATTCGCCCGAAAAAAGGTTCTACGGGATTCTACGAGATTCCGTATGTGACATCAATGTATATAAGGGTTATAAGCACCATTGTTCATAACAGGCTAACAAGCAGACCAGACTTACTTGCTTGCAGGTAGCTGGTACGTCTTATCACAGCAAGTTGTACAGAACACTCCTCCACAGCTACGACAATGATGCTAAGCAAAGCAACAACACCAACAGCATACACCTATTATAAGTACATATGCATATGCATACCCTGCACATTACATGACAAGACATACTGCAGCTGGGCCTCAAACCCAGTAAGCCGATACGCATGTCTTCAAACAAGAATCATATTCAAAGCAATAGCACAACATACTGTCATACACTCAAACGATGAGAGAGAGAGAGACAGAGAGAGAGAGGAAAAGAGACACCTTAAAAGCAAAGACTGTTAAAAAAAGAGACAAAAGACATAAAAGATCACTTACTCGTCTGTTGAAGAGCGTAAATGGAGCAGCACAATACATACAAGCTTGCACCTATAAAGGAAGACAAAAGAAAGTTCATTCAGCTCCCATTCAAAGGGCACCAAGGTTTGACTTGAGGAAGGGAAAGAGGGATCTTCGTCAGCAATGCAGTCTCGTAACGTTAGCATGCCGAGAGACTTGCCACGAGGCGATCTTTCCAGAAGATTTCAGAATCACTTATTTAGTAGGGGTCAGACGGGTGTACCGGGTACCCGCCCGTTAATCTCAGGTACCGATAGTAAAAGGGTACCCGTTTGTAAAAAACAAAACAAAAACAAAAACAAACAAAAAACAAAAAAGGTGATCCTATCGTATTCCAAGACTCAAAATAGGAGTGCGGATACTCTTTTCTTTTTTCCTGTGCATTCCCGCTTTCGACTTTATCAGGCAGGAGCAGGCTGAAAGACAGACTTGACAGTTGTTCTCTCCACTCTAATGCAAGTAAAAATCCTCGTACTGGAGGTTTTTGATTGTGATGTGAGAAAATGCAAGACTTGAAACTCGTTCGAGGTGGCAGCTGAGTAACTAGAAAGTTACGATGGTTCTCCGACATCGAACCTGCCACAGTACTTGATGAACTAGTGTCACCAGGCTGAGTGACCAGTCGGAGTGTCACAAACGGTGATGTCCGTAGGTGGTAGCTACATGTATGATACTCATGGTTGTAGTTTGTTCCTTCAATCGACGAGCTGAAAAGTAGTTCGAAATATTGCATACAAGATTACGGATTTGTGAAGATTCATTTCACGAGTTCAACAAGCTAGCACTAGCAGCTAGCTGGCCAGCAGCACATCAGCTGTGTCAGGCACCCCAGCTAGCTATGGGCGCGAACATCTTCTGAATGCAACGAGTACCAGTTCTCTGCGAACATAGCAAATAGGATTGCGCGAGATTGCGGAAGTTTTGCTAAACCACTCTGTCCTTGCATGGCTTGAATCACATCGATCTGCAGTTGATTTGCGTACATGTATCAAAATACATGTAGCTTGTAGGACCATCTACATGTACGATTGTAAGTAACTGCCTGGAAGTTATGTACATGGGCAAATGCATGGATGACATTCATTTGGAACCTTCATTGCCATAATAATAATTATTATGATACACGAATCAATTGCGAATCATAATGTAGTTTTCAAAATACAACCTGAGAATATACTAATAAAAATCATGATTTATGTGAGAAATGCGCAAAAAAATAATATGGCTGCTAAAGGGTACCCGTTAACCCGCCCGTTAAAGGGGAAGTTAAGGCAAAAAATAAAATTTCACCAGTTGTAGTCTTCGGGGTGCTGAGTCGAATGGTCGTGGTCCGAGGAAGCTGAGACACTCCCTTCCTACTTGAATCCCAATCGAACTCGCGCACCTCCACCGAAACTGGGATTTAGATAGGGATTTGTATGCAAAATGTCACTAAAAGCGCCATTTCGTTCTTATAAAAGCATGGATGACCGCGATTGGCCCATATGTTGTAGTCTTTTGGACGCTGAGTCGATTGGTTTTGGTCCGAAAAGGCTGCGATGCAGCGTTCCTCCTTTATTCCCAATCGAACATGGTTGAACAAGCGGTCACGTGCTCCTGCGTACGCCAGTCACCTGGTCACCGTGCCTGCAGGGTACAACTTACTAGCCTGTTTGACCTTTTTTGGGTGCACTCCTGTCACTCGAGTTGAACTCGAGTTGAACCTTGGTGTGAAAGTTGTCGCCTGCTGGCGTGGTGACCAGGTGATTTGGGCACCCAGGAGCACGTGACCACATGTTCAACCATGTTCGATTGGGAATAAAGGAGGAACGCTGCATCGCAGCCTTTTCGGACCAAAACCAGTCGACTCAGCGTCCAAAAGACTACAACATATGGGCCAATCGCGGTCATCCGTTCTTTTATAAGGACGAAATGGCGCTTTTAGTGACATTTTGCATACAAATCCCCATCTAGTAGGGCGTAGTCACCCAGTTTCGGTGGAAGTGCGCGAGTTCGATTGGGATTCAAGTAGGAAGGGAGCGTCTCAGCTTTCTCGGACCAAGACCATTCGACTCAGCACCCCGAAGACTACAACTGGTGAAATTTTAATTTTTGCCTTAACTTCCCCTTTAAGAAAATTACCCGTTCGTTAGTTAAAGGTACACCCGTTTGACCCCTATTATTTAGGTTGAGAAAGTCCTCCAAGAATGAACATTTGTGACCATTTGTCTCTAACTCGCGACCACAGCCCTCCATGTAAGAGACTTACAAAATTTGTGAGTTACAGAAGCGTGCTCTTGGTATTTTCATATTGTCAGACGTCAGACTGGAAGTGGCAGTAGATTGCAGTTAGAGCCAGTTTGTAAAGGCATACTACAGGGATGAATTTACTGTCATATTTTTGCATAGCAGTTTCTGCTATACGAAATCACAATTGTGTAGCAGTCTTTGATTTTGATTAGCATTTTTCTTTGAAGGTTGAGTGTTTACCACATTGCCCTTCTTGAGAGTGATGCCTGAAAGCCCATTTGCAGAAAAACGACCGAAGCATACATGTGCACCCAGATTGAGAGTACCTGCACCACATACACTGCACACTATGCATTTTACTTGACAGCGCAGGCTAGGCATGGATAGCCTGTGTGTATTGCAATTTTCTGCGAATCACGGTGACTATCGAGTAGCAGTAGATCGATTTTGCATCGCAAACTGCGATGCGATACAGGATAAATTCATCCCTGTACTACTTTCCTAGTAGTTTTCTGCATGGTGTTCTGCAGCTAATGAGATCATGCCATGCGGCTGTGTACTGGGTACCAGGTGACCGTCACATACACTAGCAAGTGGGATGCCATCATGCCATGCTGGGTGACAGTAACAGTTACATACACTAGCAAGTGGGATGCCACCATGCCATGTTGGGTGACAGTAACATACACTAGCAAGTGGGATGCCACCATGCCATGCTGGGTGACAGTGACAGTTACATACATGTACACTATCACGTCTGGGCATCTGGGCAAACCACTGGCCATGTGACCAGCATGTCATACTGAAAAATAGCCGCAGAAACGAAAACCTATTTACAGTGCACACCGCAGCAGGAGAGTGTGCCAAGCAAGCTTCCGACCAAGGAAATAAAGAAAAGTGCACAGTGCATGCTGAGCTCAAGGTTCTACCTCATATTGATTGTGCAGCAAGGATGAATGATCCAGCCATGCTGGGAAGAGCAGGCTGTAATTTGGAATACCATACTGCTGATGATGATCCCGTCAAGACATGGCACTTTGTATGGATGCTATGCTGAACTTTTTCTCACGTAATGATCTGGTCAATACCTTGGAAGTAGCGACGAACTTGGATTTGAAATTAATTTTAACTGTCCACCTCTCCACACTTCGCTCTTGGCCCACATTCACCACACCATAGTGAGGAAGTTCGTTCTTGGATAGATGTTCCATGTGAATGTGGGCCAAGAGCACAGTGTGGAGAGGTGGACAGTTTAAATTTGTAATTCCCAGAGGAAATGCTTATCTTACCTGGTCATCCTCAATCCACTGTTTCTTGCCCATGGTGGATAACTCCTCCTCCAGCGTTGCTTGCCGATTCATCAGAGTGGCTTTTTGTCTACAGCAACCATAAGCAAACAGTCATAATGATGGCATAGTGGTTGAGAAGGGAGCTACAAAGCAAAGGAAGAGTGAATACCAGCAGAGACTGCATAGGTGTTCAAAACTTCACACTATTAGTATTAGTACTAGTACGCACCTTGTAACCTGCAACAGCTGGTCCCTGGTGCTATCAGCCTGTTGGCCGAGCGCATCATTCTCTGCTTCCACAGCCTTGATAGCTGACTGCATCTGTTCCACCTGCGTGTTGAGTTTCAGGTTGGTGACGCGTTCCATATCACGGTCCTTGTTGGATGAAACGAGCTGATTCTCTAGCGACGTGATCTCAGATTTCAGAGTATTCGACGCGTCAGTTAGTACGCACACCTGACAGAGGGAAGAATGAGTTTGATGGACAAAAAGGTACAAACTCGTAAGTACATCGAAGACATAGTCACTCAGGTTAAGGCAATCGAGATGATGAACAAGGAAAGCATACACAAAACGCCGCCAACCCAACAAGAATGCTGTTTGCATGATATATGACATAGAGTAAACCTAGTGAATAACAATCCTCCATAGTGCATGGCAGGCGCACAGCACTGCCTTTGGAGGTGGTCTGGCAGGAGGGGGTCCGGGGGCTGTCCCCCGTCAAAAATTTGAAATTAGGGCGCACAATCCTGCATTCTGGGCACTTTTGGCAATGGGGAAAGTGTCGTTAGTCGTGAGTTGTCCATATTCATGAGGTTGAAAGTATGCAGTGAAATGTCCACTATTATAGGTCTGAAGATTGTGTTGTCATACGTGATGTTTGTTATACCTGAGGTCACTATTCACGAGGTTGACTGCACATTAATCACAAACGCCTTGTATTCAACAAAAAACATTGCACTGTTGAGCGCACGCGACGTTCGATTGACATATGTCTACATTGCAGGTGATGTGTTGCCGGTGAGCTTCTCACAAGAGTACAGTGTTATTGATTTTGAGTCTTGCCCAAAGCACTACATGTTCATGTTGCTCCTTGTAGACTGACTATGTGAGCAAGCATATTGAACTCTGCTAGTGAGTCACATCGATGCTTACACAGTGCGTCTCACACCATGACAAAGTCACACATGGTCACACACTCTGCAAGCCAGTACCTGGTCGGACAAGGATGTAGTCTCCCTCAGCAGCGATTCCTTGCTATCAGCCGCATCACGTACAGCAGCCTCCATCACGTCCTGTCTCTGCTTGACTTGCAGCAGCTCGAACTGCAGAGTCTCCACTTCCTGCTTCTTGCTATTTAACTCCTGGCAAGCACACCATACAGGTAACAAATGATACAAAAGATACACACAGATAAAACTAAACAAATAAAATAAAAACAGGATCCAAGGGAAGGCTGAGACAATCAGAGACAATCAGAGACAGCCTTAGAGATACGCATACAGTGTAGGTAGACAGACGCACAGGCAGATAGCTACACAGAGTAAAACAAAGAAAATAAGACATGTGGGCAGACAGCTGGGAAACACCTCACGACATGAACAGTCACTCAAAAAGATGACACATACCTGGTTTGCATGTTTGAGCTGCATTGTCTGGGCGCTTAGCTGAAACTGGATTTTGCCCATCAGGTCCTGGTGATCATCAGAAAAGGACCCTGGTCGAGAAGACGCAGATGATTTCCGCAGTGTCTCGTGGGATACATCAGCTCCTTCATTGTCACTGGTCTCAGCTGATGTCATGCTCGTTAGCTGAGTAGACAAGCGATGCAGCTGTTCAGTCAGGTCTCGGCTACGCCTGTATCAGTACAACAGAGATCATACAGTACACAAGTAGATACACGGCATGACTGACAAGCAGGGTACTAACGGGGTAGATCTACTGTGTGTGTGATCACTACACAGAGTAGATCTACTCTGTGTGATCACTACACAGGGTAGATCTACTGTGTGTAGTGATCACACACAGTAGATCTACTCTGTGTAGTGATCACTACACAGAGTAGATCTACCCTGTGTGATCACTACACTTGATGTAGTGTGTGTGTGTGTGTGTGTGTGTGTGTGTGTGTGTGTGTGTGTGTGTGTGTGTGTGTGTGTGTGTGTTCACAATGGCGCAAGGCTTACCGTTGTCTGCTAGACAAGCAGAACAGACCTCGACCATCACCGGTTGTGTGCCAAACTTGTCACCGCTCCTTCAGTCGTGTAAGTGACAGGAAGCGACACAAGTGTACAGCTACGCGTGCCCTACCCGTAAGCCAACAGCCAGGAAGCTGTCACTGCGATCAGTGCGACAGATGGTTCCGCAGCAAGGGTGGATTTGCCCGACACAAGTGCTCGCCAGCAACATCACCAGCAGAGGCATCTTCTGACACACCTGAGTCACCGGTTACAAACAATATGTCCAGCGAACGCTGCAGCTTCCACTGCGCCCGCTGCAACCGCTGTGGGCTATCGCGCCAAGGCATAAAACGTCACAAGTGCAGCCGTGGCTCGGCCAGAGCAACCAACACAGACCGTAGCTCCTTCTGCATCGTTTGCCATTGCGGTCGGCGTTTCAGTAGACCACAGGACCTATCCCGTCATCGCCCCTACTGTTCCGAACCTGCTCAACCCCCCATGGGGTCCGCATAGCCAGAATATGGCCGCGCGTCCAAGGTCCAAGGTCCAACGTGTGTGTGTGTGTGTGTGTGTGTGTGTGTGTGTGTGTGTGTGTGTGTGTGTGTGTGTGTGTGTGTGTGTGTGATCACTACACAGAGACAATCATGAGCAGAGGCTCAGAGCTGTACTACCCTATTCAGGTGACGCACTTCACCAAAGAAAATCTTCCCATACAAATAGACTGAATGGCACGAACAATAATGTTATTCCTGGCTGGAGAAGCTAGAATGGCCAGGTGGGTTACCGGTTGCAAGTCGCGGAAGTCAAGCTGCGCACAATTAAGAGTGGACAGACTGGTGACAAGCCCAATCAGAAAGTCCCAGCTACGCTAATCCCTGCTGCAAAGCGTGCCCTGAAGAACCTCTGGTGCAGTACAGTTCAGATGGTGTGCCCAGTGATGAGGTCTATTCCAGCAATAAGTCTGACACGTGTAGCAGTGAATAAAGCATGTAAGCTGTTTGCAGTGCAATTCTACAAAGTTCTATTTCACCCAGGAAGCACAAACTTTCACATGCTCGCTCGCCCTCTCACACAGATGTACGCACACACATTGCCACCGCCACCGCCGCCACCACCACCACCATCACCACCATCACCACCACAATAACGTACTGTTGAGCAGCAGATAGCTGCTGTTGATGGTGTCGTTCGGTACTGGCCATCCGGTCACGCCATTCCTCTGCCTCGCGCTTGCTGGCCTCCCGGAGTGATGTGAGTTCCTACATGAAGAAAATCAAAGCAAAAAAGCGCAGCCATTGCAAGATGTCAATGGAATAACGAGCTAAACCTTGAACAAACTCCAGATTAATATTGCATTCATGTCATAATCAAAACCTGAGAACACGTGATGCAATAACAGGTTGAACCTGGAACTACCAAAATAAACAAACTGCTGCCAACTCATGACACAATATAATCCTATTTTCAGACGGAGTGTTTCAAAAGCAACAATAACAAGAAAGCACACACAGGGGCAAGCATTACCTGCTTATAGCGATCTGCTTCATTCGAGTGAGAGCGAACCTGCAGTTGTAGCGTGTCCATCTCCATTTGGAATGTATCATACTACAACGATAAATGGTGGCAACAGCAGCAGCAAGGCACGATAACAGACATTGTCAAGCCATACCCCACATCTCCCGGTCTATTCTCTAATTCTACTCACTACAATACAGTGTATATTCCCATCCTGATCCAGCATAATGCCGCAGCACCACTATATACCATATTATCGCCTTCTTAGTATTTGACCCCACTAATTTCCCTGATACCTAAGCGGTCAAATATATCGCGTATTTGACTGCTTAGTCAAATACACGATATATTTGACTACTTATATTTGACTCCTTAGAATTTCTTGGACTTAGAAATTTTCTCTCCAACTTAGAAAAAGAAATTTTTGAAGAAAGCAGAAATACACAAGATGGGATTTGAACCCACAACCTTGTGAATCTCAGTCACTCTTCCTTACCACCCAGCCACTGTGCTACCGATGCTGAACCTAGTTTAAACAATGATCCTGACTTTCAATGCAGTACAATGCAGTATAGGCTATAGTATAATACTAGAATTACAAGGATATTGTCGTATATGAAGCGAAACTATTGCGTGGAGAACACGATAAATAGATTATAGACCTCATAGTTGGTCTATACAGGATATATAGACCTCGTAAAAGACCTCGGTCCCTTACTCGGTCTATATATCCTGTATAGACCTCCTAACCGGTCTATAATCTATACATACAGTATACACTATACTAGTAGACGGTATCGGATGTACGCTCCTCATATAACTTGTACTGTGTTTACTGTTATGCATGTGTGTACGACGCAAACTTGCATAAGAAATATAGATGGAGAGAGAGAGAGAGAGAGAGAGAGAGAGAGAGAGAGAGAGAGAGAGAGAGAGAGAGAGAGAGAGAGAGAGAGAGAGAGAGAGAGAGAGAGAGAGAGAGAGAGGAGAGGAGATTTGATAAGCCGTGTACACACCTTTTTTGCTTGTTCATGAAAAGATTCCTTCTCCTCTGCTAATTGCTGACTTGTAGCTTCACTGGCTCTCAAGCTAGTACGTACATCTGCTAGATCTGTCTCCACTGCCCGCAAAGACTCTCCATACTGCAGTTCAGCTTGACTGTGCTTTTCGGACAGCCTTTCGACTTCTGCTTGGTGTGATCTCTTGAGCTCGTCAATAGTTTCATGTAGGCTGCCGAGTTGATGTTTTGCTGCTTCCAGCTCAGATGCTTGCTCGGAACAACGTTGTGATAGCCGATCACTCTCCGCAGACAGTTCTGAAGTTTTCGCCTCATACCGTTCTGTTACTTCATCGACCAGCTTCTTTCGGCAGTCCACAACGGAAGCACGAAGCACCTCCAGCTCGTTATTTCCAGCATGACTCTGTGACATAGAACCAGGTTGCACAAGCCATGACGTGAGCAATGGAATGAGCTTCTCACGGTCAGTGTGTGACAACAAATGGCAACTAGCAGCGCGCTCAGTTACATCATCACCACCATCCACCACCTGCTTCCCAGCACTGGATGATGTAATAGCAACATCATCGGTCACTACATGCTGAGATGCCTGGCTAGGTTGGCTTCCTTCATCAGCTGTATTAGACACAAGAGCTGCAGGTGCTATAGCTGAGGAAGACAATGCATGGTCACCGGGTGGAGTAGCAGTTGCTGGCTCTACTGTGTCAGCTGCAGGCTGTGACGCTGGCGTTGTAGCTGCTACTACTGGTGAACTGATTTCTGCTGGTGTAGTTGCTGACGTCATGCCAGAGGATGGACCTGATGCAGACGACCGCCGTGCTAATGGCGAGTCTTGGCTGTCAGCTGCCCGGGAGCCCTGGCGTTGGCGTGGGATAAAGCCACTGCCTGGCGAATCATTCAGCGGTTCATCATTCTCAGAGCCAGAATCAGCTATCATGGCAGCCTGCAGAAGTACCCATCAAAGAAAAGTAGAGGACAAGGAATTTACCCATGTCCCACCTGACAAGCATCAAGGAGGAACACCGTGTCATCCTAAACTAAAGTGGAGGGAGGCCACCTCACTTCAATGTGTATTAGCTAGGTATTCGAAAGGAAGTGTAGAACCCTTGACAACAGTCACATGCACTTGTACTAGCCAGCCGAGTCACACTGCATAGCGCCGTGTGCAGTACACATATGTCAGTACGGTGACCATGCAACAGACTACAGTCATTCCACTGAGTGTCACGCTGCTGGGATCATGCCGCATCTGCGGTGGTTTCTCATTTTTTGGTTGGGGGGTTTTCATAGGCCAATACTGTACAGAGTCATGAGCAGACTATGCACATACCTTGGCTTTACGCGGCTTGCTTGAGCGAGATGTTCGCGGAGGACTTTGTCCAACAAATACTTTCCTGTGTGCCATATCAGAAGAGCCCAGACAACATCACATGAACAGTACACACAGCTAGAAGTCAACAACATTATTCCCGTAGCTATGCAGAAGACGTTACTTCAGTAACGTCTGGCGCTAGTCAGGGTCCACACAGCTTTAATTTGGTGTTTGTTTGTGTGTTTGTGTCACGCCTGGCACTATCCCGTATCTGTCCCGTACCATCAAACACAGCTGACCACATACAGCTGGCCGCAATATTCAAATACGGCTTTCAAACGCAAGATCATAACGTGAAGCAACTTGGAAGAATGAGTATGAATGCGAAGTGTATGGGGGAATGCATGTGGGGCGATAGTGCGGGTTCGAATCCCAGGTAATGCCTGAAAAAAATAGGAGAATTGTAAAAATTTATAACATCCCTTTTCTTTTTTTGCCGTCATCAAGGCGGTAGACGGTGTCGTATTACCCTCGACCGTACCTGTCCCGTACCTGTCCCGTACCTGTCCCGTACCGTACATTCAAAGACGGCTGGCCACAATGCATATTCAAATAGGGCTTTCAAATACAAGATCATAACGTGAAGCAACTTGGAAGAATTGGTATGTATGCGAAGTGTATCGGGGGATGTATGCAGGGCGATAGTGCGGGTTCCAATCCCAGGTTATGTCTAAAAACAAAAAGTAGAAACTTATAAGAATTTATAACATCCCTATGCTTTTTTTGCCTAGGTCATCAAGGCAAAAAAAGCATAGCGTAGGGCCCTGAGCTTCCAAGCTCTCTCGTTAATTTAGTTTAGGCTAGACAAAGACGAATACCACACCAGGTGCCCGTGAAGTGCATGCACAATACTGTACACGTATTGGCTACGGGAATGGACAAAACATTACCGGTAGGTTGTTCCACAATGAAATATTATATTGAAACATGGAACTCGAGAATTGGTGGTTGAATTATGTCCAAGACGTGTACACTGTAAACTCCAATACATCCAGGCCTGTGTCATTGTTCGTCAACTACACAAGAGCAAGGAACATAATTATGCATATCGAAAAAATCTGCAGTGACTCTTGTCAGTACGCAAGGGAGTGAAGAGCACTTG